TGATAAATAATAATATTATTCTGTTTTTCTGATGGGACATACGACAAAGGAACACAAAACTCCTCTCCAACTTGTTAATCAAAAAAACATACATTGTAATTATATTATGTTTTTGTCACAAGAAAGTCATCACGGTGATGCCATAAATACAATTGTCTTCCTTTTTGTTTGTTGTTTGTTTGCTACATATATATATATTTTATCATGGCTGTGTTGTGTCATGTCTGCGATGTCTTTTCAATATGTTTTGTAGTATTCAAACATAATAATATATAAATCAAATCTCTCTCGAGTTTAAAAAGAAACTAGCCTTCTACGTTTAGAAAATGAACCAATTCCATAGAATTTAAGTCAGTCCAGTACGATCCAAGATAAGACGAGTATGAAAAGATTCAAATATTTGTTCTTTTTTTTCTATATAATATCTCAGATGAAGAAGGAGAGTAGAAATTACTTATCATAAGTTTGTATAAAATGAAAATGAATATAATATAAGATTAGATTACAGGGTTTAATTTAGTGTAGAAAATCTCCTCTCTTTTATAATTATGATATGTCAATCAATTCGCTTAATTGGAGCACATTTATTTAGCTTCCTTTTTATAGGTATGTTTCTCACCTACTTAGGTTTAGTTTCGTTAAAAAAAAAAAAGAAAAACTTTCAATTTAATTCGTCTCTGACCAAGAACTTATCGAACGCAACATTATAAACCTTCAATTCCGTGTCGTTATTTGATCCATAAATTTAAAAAAAATGACCAATTATAGACACACAATTGAAAGTTAAAGGGATGGTTTTTAAAGTTTATAGACCTCTAAAAACTTAAACACAATGGTAATTATTCTTGAATCTCCCTCCAACTGGAAACCGAAACTGTGGTGAGTGGAGTTGATGAGTAGTGATATTTAAGTGAGAAGAAAATGATGATTTTAGAGAATTTAGTTTGTATGGAGAAAATATAGAAATGGGGTCCGTAGAAAAAGGGGATTGATGATGATGTGTGTGAGAGATTATAAGATTGGAGGATGAAAAATAACAAAAAAAGCAATGATGGCACTATAATTGATGAGCCAGGGCAGGATGGGGGAGGTGTTATTGTCCAAGAGGCACAAGGGAAGGGATCCAATTCCAGAGTTAAATTTTATTTTGAAGGCAATGGGTTCGGAAATTGAGGAAACTTTAAAGAAAGGTCCGTTTGAGACCACAAGACAACACCCTCTTTAACTTGTGAAAACAACAGGTGAGTGTGTGAAAGCTATCTCACTCCCATGCACACGTCCCTTTCTGGCTCCTTCCCCCCACATCTGCCGCCCCTCCTCTCTCGAAATTCCCAATTTCAATTTCAATTTCCACATCCCATCTCATCATCCCTACATCCCTACATCCATACATCCCTACATCCATACATCCATACATCCATACATACATACATACATCCATGAGGTTAATTGACCTATAAACTCCTCTTCTTGTATCTTCAAGATTGAATAGATCATCATCATCGGTCCTTTTTCTCTCTCTCTCTCTCTCTTTTGCTTTGTGCGCTAACTTTCTTTCTTTCTTTCAAGACTCATTATCAAAGAGTGGGGAAGACAAAAAAAGAAAAAGAAAAAAAAAGGCAGATCCAAGGAGGTGGTTAATCTGTCAATCCCATCAATCAGTCAACCAAACACGACCAATCATCAAACCAAGTTTTTATAAAAGCAAAGAGTGAAAAATAGGAATAATAAGATTATGTCATCCTCTTCTTCTTCTCCAACTCCTCCACCCTGTCATCCTCTACCGCCGCCGCCGCCGCCGCCGCTGGACCACCACCTCCCCGCCGCCGAGCAGCTCTGCTATGTCCATTGCAATATTTGCGACACTGTCCTTGCGGTATCTTCTCTTTCCTTTACTATTTCACTGTTTAATTAGGGTTTCCATGTATTGATAATTAATTATACCAAAAAGCTTCCTCCTTTTTCTGTTTTTTGTTGTAAATTTCTCATCTTTCTGTGATTTTCCCATCTGGGCCTCCAAAATTCCTTGCTTTTTTCTTTACCCTAGTTTGATTTTTGTTGTTAGGTGAGTGTTCCTTGTTCTAGCTTGTTCAAAACTGTTACTGTCCGATGTGGGCACTGCACCAATCTGCTGCCTGTCAACATGCGTGGCCTGCTTCTGCCTTCTACTAATCAGTTTCATCAGCTTGGCCACTCTTTTTTCTCTCCTTCTTCTCACAACATTCTGGTATTTTATTATATGATTCTTCTTTTTTTTCCTTCTGCCTCCTAAATAATTTTGTGTCTGTGTTTGAATTAAATCTCTCTTTCCATTAATATTGTATTTTTTTCTTTTTTTTCAATTTCCACAGGAGAATATCCCCACCCCGAATTCGAATTTCCTCATCAACCAGTTTGCAGCTACTAACAATTTTGGAATGCCATCTCGTGGAGTCACTGATGAGCTCCCAAGGCCCCCAGTCATCAACAGACGTGAGATTTAAATCCCAAGATTTTCTACACATTGTTTTCATTTTCTTGGTGCAATTCTTTGGTTTATGTTAAACATAAAATCTGGGTGCTATTTTTCCCTTTTTTGAAGCTCAACTAATTAAAATCTCAACTGGGGATAGAATCTCATGTCTTCTACATATCAAACCTGCAGATTGTTAATCAAGCAAAATAAAGATTTATATATTTGTTAAGTAGATGGCCTAGCTAGGCTACAGCTAAAGAACAGGAAAAAAAAAGCAGTTTTTTTCTCGTGCAGAGAAATAAAAACACTTGAACTAATTAATTCACTAAACTCAGTGCTTAAAAATTGCATTAATATTTGTTGAATTAATACATTAATTGTCCAGCTCCGGAGAAGAGACAGAGAGTGCCCTCTGCTTACAACCGCTTCATCAAGTGAGTAATGATTTCAAAACCATTATTTTTCATCTCTCTTTTTAAATTGTATAAATAATTTTAAAGAGGGAAAAAAAAAAGCTGCATAAAGAAATTACAATGCAAAATTTGAATGGTTGAATAATCTCAATATTATTTTTGCATGCAGGGACGAGATCCAACGCATCAAGTCTGTGAATCCCGATATATCCCACAGAGAAGCCTTCAGCGCCGCGGCTAAGAATGTAAATTTAAAACCCACCCAAAAAAAAAAATTATAATCTTTTCTTTCATTTATTTTCCCAAACTAGGGTTTTTTTTTTCTTCCTTCCTTCTCATTTTTCAATTTTAATTTCTTTTAATTGGCAGTGGGCCCACTTTCCACACATTCACTTTGGTCTCATGCCCGACCAGACAGTGAAGAAGACAAATATCCGCCAGCAGGTAATTGAGGGAAAAAAAAATCATCAAAAAAAAAAAAAAATTATAAATATTATTATATTTATTTAACAGTAAAACCTAATTCTCTTGTTGTGGATTTTACACTGTTTTTTGTTTTTAGGAAGGAGATCAGAATGTTCTGATGAAAGACAATGGATTCTATGCCTCAGCCAATGTTGGTGTCTCCCACTTCTAAACCAGTTTTGTGGGGCACATCCTGTTTTTCCAATGACTTTTGAGATCAGACAGTGGCAAGAAGGTCTTTTTGCTAATGTTGATATTAATATTATTATTATCATATAATACTGTCTCTCTACCTAGCCCCTCTACCATGTAATTTCTGATCTCCCAGCTTAGACTTCCATAGTTTCTACTTTAATTTGCCTCTGAATGTTCTTCCAATTTTAATGTTATGATTATTATGACATATTATATTATTGTGCCTCACCACTCCACCAATGCATGGCCTTGGCTTGGTTCTTGCTTGTGATGAAGTACATTATTAATATCTAATCCTTAATTACTAATTAGTCTTCTCATTTTGTGAATGCCTCTACTTGTGTTCATATATATCTTAACTAATAATTAATTCCCCTTTCTGTTAAGGCTTTGTGATTTTGCATGTATGATTTGTTCTAATTAGAGGTAATTACATGTCATCATGTGTTTGAAAGCTTTCATTTTAATTTTAATTTTCATATTTGGGTGATGGGTTGCATTAGTGAATGTTATATTACTTTTATTTTTGGAAATTTTTGTGTTATGAAACTTTTGTTATAATGGAAGAAATGATTTGGAACATTTTACTTTTTGGGGAATTCGTTTACTTTATCATGGAATTTAAGAACTGTGATGATATAGGTTGGATTTGGATTATAATCAATTGTTAGAGTACTCATTCTTTTTTCTTATGGAAATTTTATGTACTATTTTAATCAAATCTAGCTATATCCAATAAAATGATGACCAAAACATACATATTTTGAAATTTTAAATACCGTACTATTGAAAGATTTGAAATAATTATGCCCTAATCTAATAATCATTTTGCTTTTAGCTTTCTATTTTTGAAAATTAAGTTTATTAATCATTACTCCTATTGTTTCTTTGTTATCTACTTTTTCAAAATGTTTTCAAAATCTAAATCATAATTTTGAAAACTAGAAAAACATGATTATTACTAATTTGTAAGACGTTTTTAAACATATGTTTTTTTGTTCTGTAATCTACTTTTAGTAAATATATATAAAAAGAGATGATGCAATTGCAAACTAAGAACTGCGTCCAGTTTGCACCCTGCTATGGCTCTTTTTTTAATTTCACTTAAAATATCATTATTCAACTTCGAAATTTCACTTTCGAATATTAAAAAAATTAAAAGAAAGAAACAGAATTTCTAATTGAACAAAAAAATGTCAATCAACCAACAAAACAGGAACAAAAAACCCCCACAATGACCAAATGCTGTTGTCAAGAACGACAACATTACAAATTTTGATTGAAGAAACTAAGAATCTTCATCTTTCTTCTTCTTCCTCCTCGATCTGTGCTTCGCTTTCGGTGTCGGGAACCCCTTCAAACGTACAATGCTCGGCGAAACCCCGCCACTGCTCTCGTCGCTGACTTCCTTAATCAGTTCATCATCGGAGGGTTTTCAATCTGATGGAAACCTCAAGTACTTCCCTTTCGTTTCCTCAATCAGTTCTGTAATCTACTTTTTTACAAAAGAAAGTTTTCAAAATGTAAGCAAAATTTTTTAAAACGGAGAAAAGTTGTTTTGAAACTTGTTTCTACTTTCTAAATTTGCAAAGAGTTCAAACGTGTTTCAAAAAAAATGTGAAAGATTTATGTACTAAAAAAGTTGCGAACGAGCATAAATCTTAATAAATTGAAAATAAAAAAATAAAATTGTTATCAAACGGGAATTATATAAACTTATTGTAGTCATGCTTTCAAAGAAAGAAAAAATTGCTAGTTTATTACCAATTTCTTTATCTAGCTGTTCAACCTCTATAACTTGAGATTAAGAAGTCTAAGACTTATGAAAATATAGCTTACACAAATTAGGTAAGTTTTATAAAACCTTTTTTTCTTTTGTCATACTAAAAAATAAAAACACATATATTAATTTCTTTGTAGAATGTTAAACACAAATTAAACTATAAAAAAATTCAAACTTGATCCAACCTCTAATTGAACAAAAATTGAGATGTAGAAGCAAATGGATAAAGTAGAGGTGAATTGGGAGAAGAATTTACATCACATTGATGTGGGAATGGTACTTAGTTCACTATTGTGTGTTATTATAACACACATAACGATGTGGAGACTCCTCACTTTTGATTCATCACTGCTGACACATATCATAGTTGTTGTATTCAATAACTTGTCAGTGTACTTGTCTCTATTTTATAACATATCTCCCACGTACCACTATTCAATTACATATATCTCTATAATATCAATATTATTATATATATATGTATATTTCTTCCAATTTATCTATCATCATTATTGTACCATCCTAATTTTGATAATCAATGTCACGAAATATGTATATGTATATACACATTGTCTTTAGGAAAAGAATTGAATGCCCCCTCTTGGGGCTGTACTCTGTCCTTCCACAATTCAGATATGAAGATTAAATTTATGTTTCACATGTTGGAATTTATTGATGTAAATTGTGTGAACATGTTTAGAAATGAAAGGCTACTCTATTTAATTCATGCATTTTTAAATATAATATAACATGTGTGGGAATTTGAATCCACTACTTTTTTTTCTTGCAAATTACCGTTGATCTATACTCGTTTTAACGAATCCACGACATTTGGTTAGAGATATATGTCTTACTTAATTGAGTTACACTCCTCCATTCAGAATAGTGTTTATTGATTAGCTTTTACGATCAACAAGTTATAATCTCTTTTTTTTCTTTTTGAAGAAAAGGTAGTACTGATTCATGAAAGGGTATGTGAGAAATATACATAAAAAAAGAAAGAAAGAAAACCTTAATGAAGTATAATCAAATTGCAAATTCATTTATGAATCAAAACTTAAATTTTTTTTTCTTGAGTACAACATGTTGGAGAGGGCATTCAAACTCGCAACCTCATGGTTTGAGGTATATGTTAATTACCGCTGTGCTATGTTGCTTTGGCGAATCAAAACTTAAATGGTACCCCTTGAAATTTCATTTTTATATTAATTAGATCGGTAAATATACATTAAATTGTAAATTTAAGTTCGATACTATGGTCAATAATATGAAGGCGTCTTGTTCTTTTCAACAATGTTGGAAGTTCAATTTGTTGGGAAAATTACTTAGCAAGAACATTTTCCTCTTCAACAATTCTGTAGTGAAAACTAAGTCAATCACATAGTGAGAGAAATATAGGGAAAAGTACAGTAAACGACATAAGAGATTTATATACTGGTTCACCTCAACTATATGATTACGTTCAATCTTTCATGACAATGAATTCTACTATTATTTTTGGATAAATACAATACTCTCTCAAGTCTAGAGGTCTCGACAAAAACCACATAGCTTCTAGGAACTACAACATTAAAATCTTAGGAAACATGAATGAAAACCTTACCAAATACCACGAGAATAGGTTGTCGACAATGCTCTACAACCTCGGGATCTCACCTCTAAAACTCTGTTAAATACCACTGTCGCTACCCTCTGAAAATTTGTGCATCTACACGTTCACAACCGCTACTTTGAGGTGCAACAACACATAAACAAAACCCAAACAAAATGGCTCTATTTATACGAGGTTAAATATTCTAATCATTATGAAAAAAACAATATTATAATTATATTTTTCATAAGACATGGATTTCCTATTTTAACTCCATTATCCCAGCATAATTTTGTTATACTAAAAAATAATAAAGATTAATTATCATGACATAAAGTATGAGATATTTTTTTTAATTGTCAATGAATGTTCTAACATGCGACTCTCCTGCTAATCCTTTTTTCTACCAATTTTCTTTAAACTTCTCTCCATACACATTTGTTTTCCAATGGTTTCTCTTTCATTCATACATTTTTTTAATACAATATTATAAATGTATGGATTGGCTAAGTTATAAATGTATGGATTGGCTAAGTTGAAGGATTCAGACCTTCGATCTATAGAATTTTTTTTAATACCTTCATCGTTAAGTTAAGTTCATATGGGCCAATTTCATATCTGCAAACTTCTCTATCAATCTTTCTACACATTATTATTCTATGATATCTCATTATAAAACTCTCTATATACATTCTAACTTAGTAACTTCTCTCACTATCTTGATGTATAATCCTACTTATAAATTAAGAAACTCAACCATGTTTGAAAAGTTTTTGATTAAACTTGTTGGTGGTCAAAAAATTAGAATCAACACGTGTAAGCATATCCTCAGTTCGAATTAACCCAATCATAGCCAAGTAGACCATCAGAGTTCAACGAGTTGTTCCACACCGAGCTGAGATGAGGAAAGAGTCTTAGCTAGCCTGAGGGCTCCGACCTCAGGTCCGACCATCGACGTGGGGGGTCCGACAGCCGTAACCACATGTCGTAACAACCTAACAGTCATGTCTCCCCCGCCTATAAAAGGGACCACTCCCCTATTGATCAGGTATGCAATTCTCTCTGAGAACGACCTAAAGATTCTGAGCTCGTACTGACTTGGACGTCGGAGTATTTGTTCTCTATGCAGGCTCACTTGTGAACACCTCAACTTAGTGTCACCGACGTATGAGCTCGGTCGGAAAACAGCATCAACAAAACTAACTCTTTTAAGGCAATTCTCAAAAGATTGCACGAGGAAGATATCCCTTTGGCGTGTATTATTAGTGGGGCATAAACTTTTACAATTTGACCATCTGAAAAATACCTGATGAAGCACAAGCACTGATAAACCACTCAACTTTCAACAAATTAAGAGATCAGAAATCAGAGATAATGGGTGAAATTTTTGGTGGTGGGAGTAGTTTCAATTTTGGAAGAAATCCCCAAAAGTACTTCCAACATAAGATGCTTCCCTTCCCCAAGACAAGAAAAAGGATCCTTTTCGGCCACAGAGGCTAAGGCAATGGTGGGAAATTAACCAAAACAAAAAAAGGGTCAAAATGGGAGAGCTTATATATATCAGCTTCAAAATTCGTCCTTTGACATGAATCTTTTAATGGCAGATAAGCGTGACTTGTAAAAGCCAAAAGCAATTATTGAACAAAAGGGAATGGCTGTGGTGGAAACATTAAAAAAATAATAATAATAAAAAAAGTTCAGACCACCACAATGTCTGTGTCTCTGCTTATGAAAAAGGGTAACACTTCTGAACTTTGTCCCTCCATATTCATTCTCCAAAAAAAAATTAAAAAAAAAAAAAAGCTTTGGTTTTCTCAGAGCAAAATGAAATCTTCAACTACGACATGCCAGCATGCATGCTCCCAGCAGTTCCACGTTTCAGCTTTGGAGAAAAGCAGTAACTTATCAAAAGAAGAGACCATGACTTAGTGCATGGTAATATCTCAATTACCACCATGGTAAAAAAAAAAATCATAAAAAGAAAAATACTTCACTATATATTCCTCAAAGGTCCAGACTTCCTTATGTAGCCTATTTTTAGTTAGTTGGAAAACGACCAAAGTTTCATATTTGCTAAATAATTAAGAGGAATTGATTATGGGTATATTAGCATGGAACATCTTTATTAGTATGAGGCTTTTTGAGTGAAACTAAAAACAAAATCATAATGCTCAAAACGGACAATATCAGAGATAAGGAGAGTTCGTTGTGCCTAACAAGTGGTATCAGAGTCATGCCCTTAACTTAGCCGTGTTCGTAGTGTTGGAGGCAATGAAAGAAAGTAGGGAATTATTTAGAATGGAGAGACAAGTATGGAGAGAAACTTCTAATATTGTGATTTGGCACTTTCTTAATTTAAGTTTTGGTTTTTCTTGATTACATGGAATGAGAGACAACACCTCTATTTATAGGTATTTGAGAGAACTCTTGGGAGAATTCTAGAGAGTTAAGGAGTTCTCTAGATACATATTAATTTATTCTTATGCAAAGGAATTCTCTAGAATTCCTTGGAACCTAGAAAAAAGCTAGATGATTCCAGAGTGTTTTATTTACATATTTATTTACAAATTTCTAGATAAATCTATAGATAACTATTTGTACGGATAACTCTTAGAAGTTTGTTGGGATATAATGGGGACAAAATAATTATTAAAGGTTATTGGGCCAAAATCACACCTAAAGCCCATAGTTTGTCTTTGTTTTCATTAGGTTTAATGACCTAATATTAAAACACATGATGGAGGTTTTATGCTACTTCAGCCGTGAGTGAGAGTGATAGAAACCAAAAATAAGAAGGTGGCGGCAGTGGTGTGTTGTTGGCAGAGAAAAGAAAAGGAGAACAATGGTTTCGTAGTGCGTTGTCGGCAGCCCGTTTTCCCAAGGTTAGTGAGGTTTTTCATTCTGTATTCCTAAGTAGCTATTGTCGTAGTGCTTAGAAGCTAGGTGACTATTGTTGTGGCATCTAGAGAGAGTTTTGTAGAGCGTTTGTGAGGTCCATTGTATTTATCCCAAAATCATAGTAGAACCCGTTGTTGCGAAAGACTGGACGTAGCCCATAGTTGGGATGAACCAGTATAAATTCTCTGTGTCGTTTTCTGTGCTTTTCCCTATATTTGCATATTGTGGTTGTGTTTGGATAATTTCTGTGGAAAGAGAAATTATACAGGATAGTTAAATTTCCCAACAAAGTTTCTAGCATATTTGAAAATTACAAATTACTATTTTTCAACACCCCCTCTTAATTTGTAATTTTCAAAAACTTCTTGAACTTCTCAGTCGTGACAGATTTGGTGAACATATATGCAGGTTGATCATTGGTGTTAATGAACTCCAAAAATATTTCTGCTTTGTTTACCAAATCTCTGATATAGTGATGACATAGCTCAATACGCTTGGACCGAGCATGAAAACTGGATTTTTGGTCATTGCAATTGCTGACATATTATCGCAAAAGATTTTTGTCGGCATCACCTGCTCCATTTGAATATCTTTAAGGATTCTCCTTAGCCAAACAGCTTCACAAGCGGCATCAGTTGCAGCTGTATATTCTGCTTCAGTGGAAGACAAAGCTACAAAGCTACAGTTCGTTGCTTTTTCAAACTCCAAGATATTGCATTAGATCCTAAACAAAACACATATCCTGAAGTGCTCTTTCGATCATCAAGAGAACCTGCCCAATCACTGTCAGTGTAGCCAACCAGCTTGCAATCTCTCTCCCTTACATACTTGAGCCCATGACTTTTGGTACCCTGTAAATATCTCAAAACTCTTTTTGCAGCAGCATAATGATATTTGCTTGGATCATTCATATACCTTGAAATAATACTGACAGAATGCATAATATCTGGCCTGGTATTAGTAAGATAGATTAATGAACCGACCAGACTTCGAAAAGTCTGTGGATCTGCTTTACCAGATTTATCTTGACAACATAACTTCTCATTGGGTGCCATGGGTGTCGCAGCAGGCTTGCAATTGCTCGTATGAAATTTCTTGAGTAAATCATCAATATATTTTTCTTGAGAAAGAAAAATCTCACCTTGATGTTGCTTTACTTGAATTCCAAGAAAATATTTCATGAGACCCAAATCCGTCATTTCAAATAGATCATCAACATATAAGCAAACAACAAGGAAATTCGTACCTTCCTTCTTCATATAGAGAGATGGTTCACTGAGGCTTTTCTGAAATCCATTATGGTAGAAATATCCATCGATTTTGCTGTTCCATGCACGAGGCACTTGCTTTAATCCGTACAAGGCCTTATGGAGTCGATAAACTTTCTCCTCCTTTCCATTAACAATATATCCTTGTGGCTGCTGTATGTATACTTATTCTTCCAGCTCGCCATTTAAGAAAGCAGATTTGACATCCAGTTGAAATACATTCAATTGTAACTGGGCTGCTAAAGCAAGAACAGTTCTTATTGTCTCCATGCGAGCTACTGGTGCAAAAGTCTCGTTAAAGTCGACACTAGGCTGTTGGGAGCCACTAGACGAGCTTTGTTCCTCTGAATGGAACCATCTTCTTTAAATTTGGTCTTAAAGACTCATTTTAAGCCAATCGCTTCTTTTCCTGGTGGCAAGTCTTGAAGCTCCCATGTCTTATTTCTTTCGATATTGGTCATTTCTTCATCCATAGCTTTGATCCAAACTTCTTCTTTTGCTGCCTCATCAATATTTTGTGGCTCACAAGCAAACATTGCAAAATGTTCACTTGAAGCATAAATATCTTGTAAAGAACACATTCTTCTTGGGGGAGATTATGAGCTTTCTTGATTTGAAGTCGCTTCAACTGGCGATCTCGTAGGAGTTGAAGGAAAACTTCTTGGTGAGCTCAAATTCTGAGAGTCTTGTTGGCTATCAAGCTCTTGAATATCTTCGTACTGTTGGGAAGGTTGAGAACCATTATTCTCAAAATCTCATGTGGCCATTTCGTCAAATATTACGTCTCTTGATATCAACAATTTCTTCATCTCTGGATCTAGCAATCGATATCCCTTTTATTCATCACTATAGCTGATGAATAAGTATTTAGCTCCTTTTTTATCGAACTTTTCTCTTTCCCGAGAAGGAACTAGAGAATAAGTTGGGCAACCAAAAACTTTGAAGTGATGAACAACAGGTTTCCTCTTATTCCATGCTTCGAAAGGAGTTTTGTCTTCTACTGCTTTGGTAAGACACCGATTGAGGATATATACAGCTGTATTGACAGCTTCTGCCCACAAATTATTTGGAAGTCCTTTAGCTTTCAACATGCTTCGTGCCATTTCCACAATGGTTCGATTCTTTCTTTCAACAACGCCATTTTGTTGTGGATTGTGTCAAACTGTTAATTGTCTCATTATGCCATTCTCCTTGCAATAGTCCATGAATGGCTTGTAGATGAATTCACCTCCTCGATTTGTTCTCAAAGTTTTGATCTTTTTGCCACTTTGGTTTTCTGCAAGAGCTTTAAATTGAAGAAAAGCAGCAAAAGCCTCTGATTTTTCATTAAGAAAATAAATCCACATCATTCTTGTACAATCGTCGACAAATAAAACGAAATATCTTTTGTTAGTGAGAGTTGGAGTTCTTGTAGGACCACATATATCTGCATGCACCAACTCTTGTGGAGATTTAGCCCTCCACGAAGTTTTAGGGAAAGGAAGTCTATGGATTTTTCCATAGATGCAACCTTCACATACCTTTCCATTATCTTTAATTTTAGGTAGACCAATCACCATGTTTTTTTGTTTTAGTGTAAGAAGACCTTTGCAGTAAAGATGACCATACCTCAAATGTCATAGGTAGGAAATATCTCGGCTTTCGCTCTTGAGAGAAAATTTTCTTGCAGCGGCATCAGGAGTGGAAAGACTTTGGTGACTGACATATCAACCTTTGCTACTATCTGATCCTTTTTCTTGTCCAAAATGATGCATTTGCTATCATCAAAGTTGACTGCATATCTTTTCTGGAGTAGTTGACCAACACTTAACAAATTTTGGGTTATGCTAGGAACGTAAAGAACATCTGAAATATACCTTGTATCTCCTTTCTTGGTGTGGACAAAAATGACTCCTTTTCCTTCAGCTTTGTGCATCTTGCCATTTCTGAGCTTTACTTGAGAGCTGAAACTGCGATCAAGCTTGACAAAGAAGTCTTCATTTCCTGTCATGTGATTACTGCAACCACTATCCATGTACCATATACTTTCCGATTCATGTTGGTCAATTGTACAAGAAAACAATTGCTCCCCTTTATTTATCTTCTTTTGTAAAATTTGCTTCATCTTTTTTATTTTGAAACCAGCAATCTTGTCTAAAATGATCTGCAATCCAGCATTTAGTGCATCTAAAGTAACAATCTTTAGATTGATGATTGGACTTTTTGCAAATAATGCAGTAAGAGTCAGTATTACCGGATTTTTTGCTGTGTCATTTTCCCTTGTCCTGTTGATCATGTTGTTCATCCTTTTTTTGTGCAGGATTCCATCGTTTTTGATGATTAGACTTGAATGTCTTCTTTTTTGCAAAATTTAGCTTGGTATGAAAGGCTTGCTCCACAGCTTGAGTTGGACACTTGTTCAATCTCTCTTCGTGAGCTTGAAGTGATCCCATTAGTTCAAAGATTGTCAATTTAGACAAATCTTTGGACTCTTTGATTGCTGCAACAACATGGTTAAGTTTGGAGGAAGGCTTCAATGAAAATGACTCTCTTTTCTAGAATAGTCTCTCCATAGTTCTTCATTTGGTTAATGATTTCGGCAACTCGAGAAAAGAATTTGCGAATGTTCTCGCTTTCCTTCATTGCCAAGTTGTCAAAATCTCTCCACAAGGATTGCAACTTGATGGAGATAATTTTTTCAGATCCCTGAAATTCTTTTTGCAAAATTTTCCAAGTATCTTTAGCTTTTTTAATACCAAAAATTCGAGGGAAAATGGACTTACTAACACTTTGCTGAATGAGTCGGAGAGCTAAAGCATTTCGCCTTTTGTTCTTCTTAAACTCCTTCTCTTGTTCTGGTGTCATCTCCTTGGTGCCTTCATCTTCATAGTCTTCTTCAATGATTTCCCAAAGATCTTGAGAAATGAAAATTGTCTCCATTTGACTCTGCCAGTATTCATAATGCTCTCCATCAAATACGAGAACTTGGTTCGTTGGAAGGGTAAATAAGTTTGGAACACAACTAGTAGTCATGTTCAATTTTAGGATGGCTCTGATACCAAATTTGTTGGAGGCAATGAAAGAAAGTAGGGAATTATTTAGAATGGAGAGACAAGTATGGAGAGAAACTTCTAATATTGTGATTTGGAACTTTCTTAATTTAAGTTTTGGTTTTTCTTGATTACATAGAATCAGAGACAACACCTCTATTTATAGGTGTTTGAGAGAATTCTTGGGAGAATTCTAGAGAGTTAAGGAGTTCTCTAGATACATATTAATTTATTCTTATGCAAAGGAATTCTCGAATTCCTTGGAACCTAGGAAAAAAGCTAGATGATTCTAGAGTGTTTTATTTACGTATTTATTTACAAACTTCTAGATAAATCTATAGATAACTATTTGTATGGATAACTCTAGAAGTTTCTAACATATTTGAAAATTACAAATTACTATTTTTCAACGAGTAGAACATTTGAGTGTCAAACAAAGAAGTGGTAAGCATAGCTTGAAAGATTATAGTCATTGTATGATACTTGGTTAATCTCTATTATACTGTAGATGTAAAACAGGTAATAAACTATGATTTTAACTCCTAATTAATTCAAATGTCGATCTAACATAAAATTCTGAATATTTTCTATCAAATACTTTTTGAACTTTTGAATCAGTTGGGTGTCTTAAAATCTCATCTTTATTTCGTCCGTAGAAGAGGAGTTAGTCTAGATAGCCAACAAATATAATTTTTCAAAAATAAATAGTTGTCCAACCGCCCTTAATTATATTATTATGGCAAATTGGCCCATTTTTAAATAATTTAAGCTCCAGTGTTTTTATTATTATTTTTCAATGAAAATTAAACTAAATTTGCAACTTGGGATAGAATTTGAGTTGATAATACTTTATTGTAGTTTGAAAAAAAAAACACTATACAAGGTATATTTTGTGATCACAAGTTAGTTTATTATTAAATTTTTGGTGGGAACTCTGCTAAATTTTCTATAAATATTTCTCCTTTTAAGTATTTCTAATAACTCAAAGACATCTTTACAATATAGAAAAATATTTCCAAATCTGGATGCTGCAATCATCAGTTCCATGATAAGAACTGACCTGTTGGGCAAAAAGAGGTTCAAACTCAAACTCCCCTTTGTCCCCAGCAAGCCAAGCCAAAAATTACTTCAAAAGTATGATGGTAGAGACACATGAGAAAGCAGTGGTATTGAAAATCGATAAATCGTTATCAGAACATACAGTATGCGTATCGACTCCGAGAATTAAAAGAATGATTAATCCAAATCTAATGAACAAGGAAAACCAAGATTCATCCTTCTACAGCTTGCATATGGGGAGAAAAAAATGCTATGCAAAAATCATGAAAAATTTGGTATCCACAAGACTTACAGACCCTACACACTCGACCACAAATCTTAACAAGACGTCCCCACAACTTCAACAAGTTACATTGAGCAACAACGCTTAGTGGAAAGCGGAGATTACAGCGGAGATGATCATCAGCAGAGTGAATAACATCTTCGATCTGTTGCCCATGATCGAAGTTGCAGAAGAGATATCTTGTGGCCTGAGAGTATAGGAAACAAGTAATATAGTTCAGAATCATTCAAAGTTCTAGTTCCCAAGAGATTGGCAGAACAAATGTTGGAAAGGGTAATGGTTTCCATACTTTTGTAATTTACCAAGTGCACCACAAAAGAGTGCATTGTCTGGCATAGGCAGTTCAGTTTTGTTAGTAGCCTCGGGATTGACAACCCGAACATACGTCTCCTGCCCAAGATACCATGAGTCCAGATTTTCAGTCCTGATGTTCCAAACTCCAACATTGTCGAGAGATATCAAGATGGCAGTCCATGCTCCTGGATAAACCTAGACAGGGTGATGAACAAGTCAGGGGATGCAACAAAAAAGGATAGATGTCGGTATATCGCCATATTTAAGCGTGTATATACACAACACACACTTCTCAAATGATCGTATTTTTCTCTCACTCTTCAACACAAACTTAAAATATAGCAGCCAGAATTGTACTAGTATAAAAAGAAGGATAAAAAAACTATAAATCACATCTGCGTATATACAGGAAATTTAAGGAGACTGCAGAAATCCCATGAAAACATACCTGAATTGTTGAGCGAGCTATTCCGTCCCACTTATTGTATGTGCCCCTACTATTATCGGTCCACTCGCCATAATCCATCCTACATTCATTCAATAACTGAGTGAATAAAGTAACTCAGCTAGCAGCTCATGACTCACGCTTAGGAAGATTAATCATAAAACATACCCCACGACAAAGAAAGCGTATCCATTCATGTGATAGCTTTGCACCTTGGTGTCGTTATTCTGCAGTATAACCTCCATAAATCCCCTATATGTTCCATTAATCACTGAAGTTTCTGCTCTTGGTGGCCCCGTGAGCGGCCTAATGGGGAAATCAAGCTTATAAACACCCTTCAACTTGAACTGGTCAGCCAATCTGATTGGTGTGGATGGATTAATGAACGAGATTCCACTTAGTGTTGTCCGCATTTTACCATTGATCGACACGGGAGGCTTATTTTTCAAGACGTAAACATCAGTTACATTAATTGAGCCATATCTGAATGATCCTTGAGGATTAGGACGAGCACCGCTAGCAGATACATTCCATCTACAAAATTTGTTATAAAAGTTCTTAGAAAGCAAAACAAGCCAAAAACGTCATTCTCAGAATTTACAACTTTGCCTTTGTAACTAGATATCATGCAATTTTTATTAAAAAACACTAAAATTCTTGTAATCTGCTACGATAAGCAAAATTTCATGTTCTTCCATAGCTTCCATTTTTCTTTTTATATCATGATTTCTGGACAAACCTGATTGATCTCGCCTGGTTCATGGAGAAAGTTTTATCAAATTCATCATTTGGTGGATCTGGAAGGGGACCAGCTGCCTTTCCTTTGGAGTTAGAGTAATGCAAGATAGCAACACCAGTGACTCGTTTCCAAAGAGATTCATTGACAAATCGAGCACTGGCTACAATGTAATAATCAGTGCTCGCATTCTGATCCATGGTTACCAAAAATGAATACGACTGTCCTACATGTATATCTAAGCTAGTATAGTTCTGTTGCACTGTGTATGACCCCTCTGTTTCTGCTAAAAGAAGATTGTGGTTTTGGATCCTGAAATTCAGACTAGTAGATATTCCAACGTTGTGTACCCGAATACGATATGTTTTCCCTGTTCAACATCAGCAAATAACCATCAATCTTTAAACAACTCCACCATAACCAAGGACTTGCAGAAATCTAAATAACAATGTTCACAAAAGCCAAAATTTATAAGGATCAATGTGTATTTAAGCAGCGGCTTATTCACCGAATGAAAAACTGCGTGCTTTATAACAGATATCTAAATGTGTTATTGAATCTGTGTTTTGTCTTTTAGACACACAGCGGCAATATGTGAAGAATAGATTATATTACATTCACTCGTGGACCATACAATATGTGCATCTTCACAACTCTCATTTAAAAATGTATATGCATTCCATTTAACCTTATCCTGTTGATATCATATCAAGTCATTCGAATGAATATACAAGCTTGGAGGAAGAACCAGTTAGCTGAAACACGTGTAATTGACATAATAAGTTAGCAAATGGCGGTTCTAAAAGTCCAATAATAGGAGATGCAGGATCCCCTGAACATGGGGGTGAGCCTATTAGAGATTTATCTTCCCACTTATTCAATGCACCCAATTGGATTTGTACGGGATACCTTTCTCTAATGAGGTTGACCATGTGCTCCTTTTAGCCATGGCTTTAGGTAGAGTCGGTTTATGTACTGGAATTAAAGTCAGTAGTCTCATGTTCAAATCTCTCCTTAAATGTCCTTTACGGCCCTCTCATACATAGCCATCTCTTGAGACGAGGATTTTACTAAGGAGAAGACTAGGAAAATAATGCAAAGACATTTCTTGAAAGTGAGAGTGTCCCCACTAGGAGTCAAATCTCTGCTCATTGAGCGTGCCAATCAGGTCCGGTCAATCACTCATAGGGATGGACCCAAACAGAATAGTGTTAGGGGTTACACTCTAAGGCCTGAGCCTAGATGATGTATAGTAGTAGATAGGGCTCTGTCTCCACAATGAGGTGCTACCCACTTGTGCTTATAGCAAAATTACACAAATTGAAAATGGAATTAAAAATGCAACATCAAGCATCTAACATAGAGGTAGAATTTTGAAGTGAGTGAATGATACCATCGCATGCTAATGCTAGGTTGAAAAGAAAGCACAAATTAGACCCAAAACAGAGTAAGCACACTATATTTCACTCTTAACCAACTTTGCTGAGGTATTAGCATTACCTGGATTAACTTCAATTGTTTCGTGGTCGATACCATCAGGGACTAGAGTGTCGTTATATCTGTAGGGGCCTTTTCCATTAATGAGAACACCGTGTGGCATTCCAAGATCCTTCCCAGCATCAAGGGCTTTTCTCAGAGCCTACATACCAATTCAAAAAGCATCAATATCAAGCACATTACATTCCAATCAATTAGAATGCTGCAACTAGAGCATGCGTTTGGTTTCTCGAATCAAACACTAACCGTGTGATTCCGGGTGTACCAATCACCAATCAAAATTGTAATGTCCCCATCTGGGGTTGCAAAAGGAATGGGGATTATAGGCCTGTTGTTAATAATAATTCCGCCGTATCCACCAGATGCTCTCTGGAAATTGAGCGATGGAAAGTAAAAGAAGCTCCCTATCTGATCCTTAACCTGAAACTGGTAAGTCCAGTTCCACTTGGGAGGAATTGGGCAATTTGTTCCCAGAACTCCATCTTGCCAGGAACTTCGCCGCTGTTGAACTCCAGACCTGTTACCCCAAAGCCAATCTATCCATTCTCAAACTAGCTCTACAATCATAAATCAATATGAACAACAACCAGGGTAAATAAAATCAAACAATACCAATGCATGAGGAGGTTCTCATCCAACTTGTTCCGGACATTGATAACTACATTGTTGTTAGTAGTGAGATTGATAGTAGGACCAGGAAACTTTTCATTAATAGCAATAACCTACAAAAAGCAAGGCAGAAATCAGAAGCAACTACTTAGACAAATAGTCGCCATTCATCTGCTCTCAGCTCAATTCCAGCAATGTACTACTTGGTTTCTCAAAATAGCAGCACATAAAGAAGATCTAGAACTAGAAATCCAAAACTTTTTCGGAATCTAACACAAACCCAGCTCAGGGAAACAAGATCCAAGGAGGAGAAACCTGTTGAGGGACTCCCAGAGGAGAAGCAGTGATGTAGGAGACTTCAAATTCGAAGTTAACAAACGGATCTGCTGCAGAGGAGAAGGTGAGAAGCAGGGAAATGGGAAGGAGGAAAATGGGTAGGGAAGCAAACAGAGCCATTGGTGTGAATGTTTTGGTGGGCAGAACAGAAATTAAGAGGTGAAAAATTCCGGTGGGAAGCTGTGTTTTACATTATCAGGGGGAGAGAGCGTGGAAATGGGAAGAGGGTGGGGGAAAAACGGCTATATTTCACTGCTTTTGATGGTGGGGAAGGGGCAGACGCAGAGTGATTGCACTTTGCAGTGTGGTTTTGGGGCGTGGAAGACAGAGCAATTGCGTTGGCTATTGGGTTTGATTATTGGGTATCTTGTTTCTGCTGGCTAAGTGGCTTCGGCTGTGTCGGTCACCAGTCACCACCCAAATCCCCCATTCACCGTTCAAACGAAACAGAGGAGAGAGAGAGAGATAGACGGGGAAGAGTAAGAGAGAGAAAGGCCAGTAGTCGGTAACATATATACTCCTTTTGAGGACACATCTTGTGCAACCGCAAGTGTAAGTGTAACCAACGCGTCTTTCTTTGAAAAAAATATATATATATGAAAAAAGATCAATTTTGTTTAATTCAACTCAACGGGAATATATGTGGCAATGCTATGTTAAAAGTTTCGACCAAAAGTTGAAACCTTGGTAAAAAAAAAGAAAAATGTACATATATGTGGCAATATTACAACTTTTACTTTTTTACAGAATTTATGAGCTTTTTTAATTTATTCCATAGTCAATTTTAAAATCGTTGCCAACTATCGCGAAAAATTAATTGTTACTCGTAAATATATTAATCTACTTTTCTGATTCGTAAATATAGCTCGAAATAAAGTTTTCAGTCAAAATGAAAATTTGAAAAAACAGTTGTACCTTTAAAACGCAAAGTTCTTTTTTCATTTTTTTTTTTTTGAAAATGAGAAAAACTTTTACATTTGACATATTTAATATTAAATATATCATATTAAGTGATATATCTAAAATGAAGTATCATAAAAGCATGATCAGAATAATAAAATAACGGAAATTTGATTTAATTTTTTTTTTCACATTTACAGAGCTAAAAAGTTATTGCTATATTTACAAATATGACAAATGTTTTTGCTACCTATTAAAAATATTCTCAATTTTGTGTATTGATGAATTTTTGTTTTTAGTACAACGTGTATGATGAAACTTATTATGATGCGGGACTTGATTTTTGTTGAAATAAATATTTCTGTGGGAGATTGTTACACTACATCCTTATTTTGACTAAGGATTTAGTTGAAGTTGAAAAAATTGGAAAAGAAAAAAAAGAAAAATCTAGCATTCTAAAGTACAGTTGTTAAATCAGTTACCGATGAAAATTAATGAATCCTATTAAGTTTAGGAATAAACATTGATCCAAAAAACTTTTTTTTTATCACATTTTAATGTCAAAACTTTTATGTTTATACTAATTTAACTTCTAAAATTTCTAAAAAAATTTTTTAATTCTAAACGTTATAGGAAAACAATTTTAATCATTATCTTTAATTTTCTTTTATCTAACATAAAGCCTAAGATAGATATATATTTTGTTCGTTTATCTTTGAAAGCAATTATTGAATACGTTTAGGTTTCCATTAAATAATTAAAATAATTTTCATACAAAAAGATGAAAGTAGTTTAGCTAGAAGTTCATTAATCAAATTGGAAAAGGTAGGAAAGTATAGGGAAAATAATAAGATTATTTATTTACGATCATTATTGTTATTATTTTGCAATTTGACCGATGCGCCTCAATTGTCTGAGTTCCGTCACCAATCGATAAGCCAAAACCTAACTGAAAAAAAAAATCGATAAGCCAAAACCAAATGGATTGAAATTGAAACTTGAAAGAAAGAAAAAATAAATAAATAAAGAAAGAGGAAAACGGGACAACGTATATATATAAAAATGGAATAACGTTTAAATGTGTCTGAGAGCGGCACGTGATTGCCAGCCGTTGAGCATTTTGCGTCCAAAAGTGGGCCCCACCAATAAATGTCGAGGGCGTTAGTTGTGTGGGCCCGCCCTCTTTTTGGCTGATCTGCTGGAAGAAACATTGGCATATTTATAATATTATAAATAAACCTTCTTCTACTTCTACACACACACCCATTCAATTAATGCACTCTCTTTTTACTCACTCACCATTAAAATCCCTTATTTCCCAAGTTTAAATTACAAATATAAATGTCAATTCGTAATAATTGAAACTTAACTCAAATCAAAACGAATTTCCACTTTACTCGTTGTACTAAAAAAATTTAGAAACACATGATTTAACTCATGTTTCTAATCAACAATATCATGTAACGGTAGAAATATATATATAAATTTATGCTTCTTCAACCTAAATACGGATAATCACATTACATTTTTTAACTTTTCTTAAGAGGGCCTTAACTTTGTCCGCAATTATAATTAAACGTGACAGTGGGGTTAAAAATAAAGAAATTGAACTTAAGATGTACGAAAGCGAAACCGTGGAAATAGTTTTTGAAGTGACAAAATAGACAAATTTTCCGTAAGCAACAAGAAAAGAGCATTGGGACAGTTAGGGGATTATGACGTGGTGGTTTAATAATAGTTAATTATTATTATTATTATTATTTTTTTGTGAGAATAGAAATAATTGAATGGATAAAGTAAAAATAATTGGAGATAGATTATAACGAAGCACAAGCAGGGAGGGGATTAACGGTGAGGCAGGGGGCAGCGTAATCGGGCTGTCATTCAGAGTGAAACATCAATATCTGTTGTACAAATTTGATAGGCCCATTTTCGACGATTGGTACACTCACTTTTTTTCTCTTTTGTACCAACCTATAAAATTACTATTAACCTTTTTTAAAATGTTATAATTATATTAGCTAAAATTAGCTTCAATTTTATCAACTAATTAATATATATATATATATATATATATAACGCAAATAAAACTTTTACTGAAATTAGAAATTTCAAGTTTATAACGAGAAATCTGACTCTATTACTTATTATTTACTGATCAAGAAAGAGAATAAAGTTTGATCAATGATGTTATTCTCATTAATTGTGACGATCAAAGAACAATCGTAACTCATACTCAGATTTCAAATACATGGGAATAAATAACTTCCACTCAACCAAGTTTAATAGACAGACAAGACATAAATAATAGATTTACAGATAATTTCAATTACACATTAACAAGCTCTTTTAAGAAGAAGTTCACTTCTTCTTTATCTACTTAATTGTATTAGAATGAAACAATTTTTAGCTATAATAATGAGTCAACCTTAATCTTAGGTTAATCATTATTAAATTCTTGATAAAATAGGCCTGAGAAATACACACATAGAGAGACAAAAAGAGACAGACTGATATAATTAGCTGCCTATTCTTTATTTTAACATAAATGGTCTCCAGTGAATTATATTATACATGATATTTCACAAATGTATATTCTTTTTAATATTTACAAACATATATTTAAAGGTTAGATTTTTTGTCCTCAAATTACTCCCAATAAATACCATTTTATTACATTTATATATATTTTTAAACTATATTATTTCCTAAATGAATTAAATGTCATGCTATTATTTTTATTTATTATTAAATGTTTATGCTTATATTTTAATAAATTATTCAACAAATATAAAATATTTTTAAATTCCATTATTCTCATTAATTCAGATTTTATTTACCAAAATTCTCAAAACTATTCACCGCATTTTGTTTTCAATTTCACTAAAAGCTCATAATTTCACCATGTTTTTTTTTAGTACAACATTGTGGGGGTGGGGTTTGAACTCATGACCAGTGCCTTAACCATTTGAGCTATGCTCGGTTTGACATAATTTCACCACGTTAATTTCTATTTGATTCTTCATTTCTTGCGGCTACAACCTCCACGCAAAGGTCAATGGTTTATATTTTCAATCATTCTGGTGATTTATTTATAGTTTTCCGACGACCCATCCCTTTTTCAGCGGCACAAAACTCAATAGGAGCAGCAAAACACAATTTTTGGAACCAGGAGTGTTAATACCCACCAACTATAACTACAATTGTTGTCTTGTCTACCCAAACTCAGCTTGGCCTCCAAATATACTGCGAAGACATCATAAATAAATTATAGTTTTTAGACGAAACTAGACCTTTACCGTATAAATTTATTGATAATAAATTGGTATATGTTGCATATACTATATTTTTTGTCTAATATATGTTGGATATATGCAATATATGCCCCTAGAAATAATACTTCAGTTGCCTGTTTTATATGAAATTACTTATATGGAATATATTTTGGATATATGATATATAAACTTTATAATGTTAAAATATATTTCAATAGTATTGTTTTATGGACAACTTATAATTTTAGGAATGATATGATGTATATTTTGAATATATGTTGCATATATTTAGAAATAAAGTTAATATAACCTAATGTTTTAGTGTATACCAATAAAAAATTTATATATACTATATATCCCATTATAAAAGGGAATATGTTTATCATACTCTAAGTTGGATTAAAAATTATATATTATATAATGGTCGTTGGAATTTTCAACATCAGAGAAGTGAAATAAGCCGTTGAAAAAAAAGGTCGTAAGAAAAGGGAATTAAGACACCGAAAAAATTGATGTGTTGTCGGAAAATAAAAATAAGCCGCCAAAAAAGGGATGGGTTGTTGAAAAACAATAAATAGTTGTCGAAATAGTGTAATAAAGTCGCCAAAATGATTAAGAACATAAACCGTCGACTTTTGAGTGAAGGTTGCAACCGTAAGAAGTGAAAAATAAAATGATAGTGAAGGCGGTGAATCGTCAGATGTTAGTAAAAAATGGAAACAAAATGTGGTGAATAATTTTGTAGATTTTGGTAATTATTACAGATTTCAAAAGTTTATATATTTGTTGAATAATTTATTAAAATATAAATATTTAATAAATAAAAAAACTCAGCGCCCAAATTTAGCATATTTTCTTTTTAGAAAATATTTTATTTGTTTATGAAAATATATTATTATAGATAATTTTATAGTTTACAGAGCTTCCTCTTAAACGGGTCTATGTATTGACAAAAGTATTAATATTTGAAATTGTATACGCTTTTGTAATTAATACGTTAAAAATAAGTAGTTGTGTTATTTTAATGGTGAAAGAAAGATGTGAATCCCAAGAAAATAAAATAAAATAGTGATAAATAAATGTTTTCCGTTTTGAAAAGAGTGTTATTTTATTTGACTTAGGAAGAATTTTAATTAATGGAATAAATACGTTGGAGAGTGGGGAGAGAAAGAGGGAGGGGGCGGCGCGTGGGTTGGCATTTTGGCTGTAGAGCGTGGAGGTGGCTGTAAAGT